CTGCAGCTGATAATGATGCTTTCCCCGCTATACCAACACGTTCCAAAGGAGAGGTAAGGCTCTTCTTATCTTCCAAAAGTGGGAATAATTTGCGCAACGTTGAGATCCTTGCTTCCCCACCATAAACCTGAAATAGACAACCATTTTCGAAACCTTCAGAGAGCTCCGATTACTTAGAAGACGTTAAATGAAGCTTTCTACTACCACACAATAATCAACTCCCAAGATTCATTTTGATAGATTAATTCCACATTCCTTCCAAAGAAAAAAGTTGACCTCGTGTATAGCAAGATAGACGCGTGTGCTGTTGCTAAACCCCAGAGCAGCTAGCAGCAAACCTATCTCTTCAGGAGTCAATGGGCAACGTCCCTGATATCTCAACTCTTCATCAGTGAACTGTGAGTTAGGAACCCTTCCCTGCCAAATCACTCGACGATAATTTGCAAGAGCCAGTCTCTCAGCTTTGCCTCCACCAAACTCACAAGCTGAATGAGCAGCCATATCCTGCAAGGATGATTTGTAGAGAATCATAATACTACTGGAATTGAAACTGTAAAACATTTTATTAGACTGGAAGGACAAAAGTTAAATTACATCTAATTAATTGAATTTGGTCCTTGTTCTACAGAAAAAATATTATAAGAAAAGAATATAGTATTTCACCACTGCATCAAGACTATCCATATCATCCAAGAGTACAATTTGCAAGGAAACCTAAAGACTCCTAAGAGATGATAGCACTATGAATGGGCTGAAGCGATCAATGGAATCAATTCAAAATTTTGATATTGAAGGTTAATTTATGAAGTTCAGTAGTTCTTGCAAACAACCAGGGAAGACACAGACCTTATCAAATCGGAGATGCAAGACGACAAACTTCCCACCGTCCAATCTTCTCGTCTCATCCCCTAGCAGATTCTCAGCTCCTTCTGTTTCCTTTTGATTAGAAGGGGAACGAAGGCGATTGACAATGGTATCTCCTAATTCAGTGATGCCACGAACAAAGGCTAATGCCTTGAAGTTGACTTTACAACGCAAATGCTGAATCTCAATAGGTAAGTCGTTGAAAGATAGACGATGAGAGAATGGAGCAATAGCAGCAATCCCATAGCTGTTATCAATTGAAACAGTCAGTCCAACACATTTATTAAGACAAAAAGCAGATGATGTGAGAAATACTCATGCTGTACCTAAGTTTATCGTCACTCTAGAAGAAGATAGACCTCTTAAACAATCTATACCTCACTTGAGACTTATTTTTCATCCCATTGTATCTCTCTCGAAATTCCTATTGTTATCAATTTTGACCTCAAACTCTCAATTTTATCAAATTAAACTCTATACTTAAAAGTGTTGCAATTTTTACCTTTGATCCAACTTTTGTTAATTCGCCCACTAATCTTCACAAATAGCGTAAAAATCATCATAAACTCATTAATTTCAATAAAATAAAATTTTGCACAAAAATAACTTTCACCAATGCACAAATTAACCAACTGAATAACATTGTCAAAATTTAAAATTTTCAACAAAAAAACTTGGTTCTAATGTGATTAAGAGTTCGCTTTGAAACAATTAGTGAAATGACAAAAACACAGTTGTCAACATGTGAATTTCAAGAAACCAAATATCATAATTATGTGCAGGACTTACCGCTGCAATATGGGCAAGACGTTTTCCAAGTACCAGTTTGCAGAAGCATGGGTGGGAGCTGTTTTAATTCTAGTATTACGGATTCCAGTAGCGTAGTACTCCCGAGTGCTCCAGGAGTATTCAGTAGGCAGCTCTTTGACTATTGATATATCATCACGCAGGACATCAATAAAGTGTTCCACATCAAAAATTTCTCCAAAAGAACTGGCCAAACAAAAAAACTTTAAGCAACTTTTTCCTGGAAAACACCCCCCCCCCCCCCCCCCCCCCCAAAAAAAAAAAAAAAAAAACCAAAA